ATCTAAATTGGAAGGTTGACGATTACAACAACAAAAGATTTCTTTGTATATAAGGGAGTCCAGAGACCAACAGGGGCAGATGTACCAGAGCTATGAAGACCTGAGCAACTTCACGACACTCAGCCACTTTTTGTAACAGTTACATGTACTTCATTTATACATAATAAAACATTATTGTATTTAAGAGTTGTAAATTTTATTTTAATAACACCCTGGATCTGGATCTGATATTGGCACGCAACAACATTACATTGTAATGCTTTACAATTTGCTTCCTCTATCAAAATGTTAAAGTTATCACGAATTTTCCCCATATTTTCTATTGTGTTTTTTTATCAAATAAACAGCCTTTCCGATATCAGCTCCAGGTGATTGAAGTATTTTGGATGCTAAATTAATTTTTGACTATATTTTATACATAAAAAGGATTAAAATAATTGTTTTGTAGCTTTCAAAATATTTTTTGGGTGTGGAGGCGTCGTTTTGTTCATCCTTGTTACGCCCTGTCAACATAATGTTGTTTAAAACTTTCATAACGTCTTGGTACATATGATTGAGTGATATTAAACAATCAACTCTAGATGACCAACGTGTAGGGCACAGCCTTTTAAGTGACCTAGAAATTTCGTTGCTTTCTTTTTTTAACTTAGCCCATCGAAGTATACTATTTCCAAAAAAAGTATATAGAGATTCTAACATCTCAAAAAACTCTCTAAATTCCGGAATGTTTTTAATAGAATCGTTCACCATCAAGTTTAAATTATGCGACGCACAGTGAACATACTTGGCTTTTTTTTGTCGTTTCCGAAGTCGAGCCTGCAAACCATTATGTATGCCACTCATATTTGCTGCGCCGTCTAATCCAATTCCTCTAAATTTACCGATATCAAGACCATTCTCTTTAAATATTTCACTAATCTGTTCTTCCATTGCTTCGCCCGTATTTCCTTCTGCTTCAGAAAATCCAATGAAATCTTCTTTTATATCAATACTTTCAGGAATCCCGAATTCATCTTTTTTTATATGTACGTATCGATATATCGTAGAAACTTGGTCAACCTTCCTCACATCTTGTTTGAATCTAGAATTAAGGAAAAAAATGGAGCAGAAGAAATATCAGATATTATATTTTTTTTTTATTTCACTTTCGACTAATGCGATTATTTGATTTTGAATTTGATGGCTTAGATATTTTATTTTTCCCTTTGGTTTTTCTAGAAGTATAGCCAATATTGGGTCATATTTAGCTAAAAGTGTTATTATAGCCATAAAATTTCCAGGATTTTTTAAGTTTGCATCTTTTCTATGACCCCTGAAAGACAAATTTTGGCCACCTATTGTGATAATTACATCTATTATACGCGTTAAAACTGCGGTTCAATATTCAGCTTCAGAATCGTTTTGCTTCTGTATTTGACTATCTATACTTAAACTTTTAGAATATTAATTATAAGCTTTACATGATACAAGATGAAATGTAGAACTTTCATGACGGTTAATAGCAATTGTTATGTGATCCCAATCATAAAAACCATCAATCCATGATGTTTGTTTGTTTTTTAATCTATTCCCAAATAGAGTGCATGGCTGGCAATATGCCATTTGGCGAATAATTGAATAACATAACCATTGTCTAATTGTTTTTTCACAAGACACTGATGACCCAGAATAATTATATTTTTCATTAAACGTTAGGTTAGACAAACGATTATTTGAAGAATCTGAATATCTATAAAATAGTCCTTTGGATTGGCATTGTCTATAATCAACAACAAACTTTTTTAACTCGCCAGATAACGTTAAATCTTTAAAATGGCCAATATCAGTAGGATTTAGTAATGCTAGAAGCTTAGTGAAGAAATCTATATTTGAAGTATTGCCATTTGGGGAAAATAATAAGAAGCTGGATGGTATTTCCTCTAAAATTTCGCTGGTTGATAAAGAAGGTGAGAAACTAGATGATGTTTCATGTGCAATAGTGATGACTGAAGAAGACAGTGTATTGGATGGTAATTCATGTGAGATAATATTGACGGGAGAAGACGGTGAGGGACTAAATGGAATATCTTGTACAACATTGGCTAAAATTGAACTTGAATGACAAGGGCTACGTTTTTCAATTTCCAGCGTTTTTGTAAAAAACTTTAAAACAGACGGTAACAATTAAGTTTTTCTCTCTTCCTCTGCTTTATGTTTTCGTTTATTTGCTCCACTTTCAAATTTTTTTTTCGGATCACTCATTATTAGATAAAATGTTCAAATTCAAGTTGTATACTAAAATTATAACAATATAATACTTAAAGCTATTTAGTGATTACCTATATTAATAATATAACAAATAAGTAAATAACATAATAATAATATGCAGTGGTGCCTCAAAGGAGGTATATTTGAATCACGTGATTCACAAAAATATTAATGGGTAGATGATTTGTTATGAGGATAGATATAACTGGTAAAAGGCTTCTATGATTAACTGTATATACCCATTAGTATATTCATTTAATCACCCATGAATTAAATGGGTATGAAATATCCATTATTTAACTACTAAAGTAACAACCTATAAATTTACTATTGGATTTCAGTGAAAAAAATTGTTTAAGGATGGGTAGTATAAAAATAATAAATGTAATTCAAGAAAAAAAGTTCAAGCCACCACTAAAAATATGAATAAAATGTATACCTAATATAATAATCAATAATAAACAGCATTCTCGTCCACAATATTATAATGTAACGTGACGATTTGTGTTCATGGTATAATAATTAATAATAAGATAATCGATTTAGGAGTACTGGATACATTTAAAAAAATTAATATATCTTTTAAAAAAAAAATTTAAAAATTTAAAAATTATTTAATTTTATTTAAAATACGTAGCTACCTTAATTAGAAACAAATAATATTATTACGTTTAAGACGTCATAAATATTTACATAATATTATACTTCGATGGAACGTAAAAGAAAATGTTCAAAGATATTAGTTTTAATATTAAATTGTTTAATTCTAGTATTTACATAATACCAATAACCACAATGATTATATACGAATCACAATTTAATGTTGTCTTTCAATACAAAATAAATGTATAACTACTTACCAAATTAACTTGGACGTTGTTCGGCTTGTTCGTTGTTTCTATCACCGAACACCGACAAATACTCAGTAACACGACTGTCTCATAAAATCGTTGAAATGAAATAGAAAAAATAATTCATGGTTTTTTTTAACAATAAAATATAGCATAGCCAGTATTCTGTAATCTATACTCTATACCAGATATATGCTCAAATTCGATTTCGGCGTATCGACGCCGCATGCCCGTATGATCGCAATAAGACATAATATTATACTCTTATAATTTATATTATTATTTACATAATAAAATTACCAATAATAATTTAAATATTATCGTGTTTATCATCGGATAATTCGTTTACACATTTAGTGTAACTTATCAGTATACTCGGTATTATTTCAGTATTCAATGATTTTATTTACTTGAACTGAATTTTTTTTGAACAGTACAGAATTTTTCTGTGAGGCCCCTTTAACGATGAGGCCCGTGGAAAATCTCGCCTTCAATCATATGTAGTTCCGCTACTGGTGTTAATTGCCCTACGTTTCTGTGCAAGTGGAAATGACCAAGTATTTGAATGCAATTTAAATCAGTAATTATGGTAAGATTATTGTTAATTTAATTTTATTGTTTTATAGAGAGTCAATGGAGACACATTAGGATAGTCACAAGCTTTGGTTTCTATTGTAGTTAAAGAAGTATCGGGATTACTAGCTAAATGTGGAAAAAAATGGATTCGATTTCCTAAAGCACCAAATTTACAAGACACTAAGGAACAATTTTATTTAATTGATGAATTTCCTGGTGTAATTGGAGCTATAGATTGTACATATGTCCCTATTAAAAGTCCCGGAGGCGACAACGCAGAACTTTATAGAAATCGAAAAGGATGGATGTCATTAAATGTTCAAATTGTTTGTGGTCCAAAAATGCAAATTTTTGACATAGTCTGCAGATGGCCAGGTTCAGTTCATGATAGTAGAATGTATAATAATAGTCGAGTGAATCTTCTAATTGAATCAAATGCTTTAGCTGGTAACATCTTTATTTATTTATATTCATATTTATTTTAATATTATCTAAATATTTGATATTGACTAGCAATAAATTCATATTATAATAAATTTAATATTATCATAAATTATAGGACATTTAATTGGAGACAGTGGTTACCCTCAGAGTAAATTTATATACACACCTAAACTCAATCCATCAACTGCAGCAGAAAATAAATACAATAAATCACATATAAAAACCAGGTATGTTATTGAAAGAGTGAACAGAGTACTCAAAAATCAATTTCGCTGTTTATGCAGAAAACTCCGTACAAAACTTCAAACTTCAACTTTGATCATCATTTCATGTGCTATACTTCAAAATGTAGCATTAAGTCATAATTTAGATTTACAAATAGAAATGAAGAGAATGTCAGGTTACCCAGAAATGATGTATTAGCTATACCAGACAATCGACTCGCGAGCATTATAAAAGCAGCATTTATAGAAAGACATTTCACATGAGTACACAACAAAATAAAAATAAAAACAATTTTATTGTATATAAGTACAAGTAGTAGAAGGGGATTGACTCAGGCGATAATCCGTCGGGCTCTGGCCGCGGCGGTCACTCATTATGGCGCCCGAGGTGAGGCGGCGCCCCGGGTAGGACCCCCGGAAGTAGTATGTATTTGTATGTTCACAGCACTTTTGGGCAGGGAGATTTTAAAAGTTTAAGGGGGAATATCCCAATTGAGCTCATTTTCGTCTCCGTGTAATTTAAAAAAACAGTGATTTTCAAAAACCATAATGTATGTTCACAGCACTTTTGGGCAGGGAGATTTTTAAAGTTTAAGGGGGAATATCCCGCTCAAGCTCATTTTCGTCTCTGTGTAACACAAAAACAGTTTATTGGTCACACTACAATTTTAAATTTAAAGTTTTTTCAAACTTTAAAATTAATAATCTAATCTAGTTCAGTTTAGTTAGTGTTAAACCATCATTCGATCAAGACCTATTGCTTATTAAAAAGTTCTTTATTTTTACAAAAAATGAATTTTCAAAATTTTAGCAACAATTTTTGTTCACTAGTTTCTTTAGTACGAAATAATGCATATCCTAAATACCCAGAATATACAACATTTTCTTCAAGATTGAAAACATTCAACTTATTCCCGTTAACTTCATCTCAAGATAAATACTCATTAGCTGAAAGCGGTTTTAAATATTCAGGGAAAAAAGATATTGTCGAATGTTTTTGCTGTGGACTCATCTTACATAATTGGGAAAAAGATGATATTCCATGGATTGAACACACAAGATGGAATCCAAAGTATATATACGTATTATTATCAAAAGGAAATCAGTTTGTTGAAAATATAATAAATAAGTACGGAAAGATTAACGATGTATGTCAATGTGATTGTGAATTTAAGACATATGATACTGTAATTTAATATTTTTTTCTATTAATATATTTTTTTTTTCTGTTTTTATAAGAAACAATTTAAATGTGTTAATATTTATCTTAATATTTCGTGAACGTATAGTCTAGTGGGATAACGCGTCTAGTTTAAATTAAATTTGTTAAGATTAATTTTCAGGTTCAATGGTATACGTAAGTAGATAAATAACCCTCGACACGCTATCCAACTAAACTATACGTTCACATTTTTTTCGGTTTTTTTCTTTTTTTACCTCTTCAGTTTTAGTATATAACATGTGTGAGCAAAAAAATACTGTTAGCTTAAGCTATACTGTCATAGTGTTTATATTCATTTTTTTTTTTTTTTTTTAAATAATCGTATAAATATTAATTTGAAAATCGTCTTATAATTTCAAAGAACTTATCGTTCGAACTAACCAGTCGTTGTATCAAAATCAGTGTTCGATATCCGTCCTTTTGGAAAGAAAAGTGTAACAGTTGGACTTTTGATTAATAAACAGATTTCAATTATTATATTATTAGAATGTAAATTAACTAAAAAAATTGTTACGTTAGACCTAGATCAGTGGTGTACATTAATGTGTGAAAATAATTATAACGCAATTATTGATAATTTACATACCCGATGTAAACGTGTTAAAATAGCTGACAACTTTTTCTATTCCGTTAATGTTAACCAATCGACTATTGTTTTATATTCTAATAATAATTATATAACATTATCTCACGTTGATTTACATCGTTTAAAACCATTACAACATTGTATCGACTTGTATATTGTTGAAAAACAAAAGAAGTTGGAATCATACCAAAAAACATTTGATACAGCATATGCGTTGATAAAGGCCGACGTCAATGGATTACCATCGTCTTGTCAACGAAATGAATTTACAAACCAATATATTCAAAATTATGATTTTAGTTATAGCAATATTCAAAGTGATGATATTTCATTCATGTATGAGTTGTTGCAATTTCATTTTAATTCATTATCAAATATGATTTTGCAAGATTTGGTAATGTAATAAAAATTAAAACCTTTAAATTTAATACTCATATTTTTTGTTTGCTAAAAATTTTTATAAAATTACTACTTTTATACTGTATTCATATTTATTATATTATATTAAACTTAATATATTTTTTGTTTTTTTTTTTCAATTTTTAAATGTACTATTTTATTTTTATTTAAATAAATAAAAAAAATGATAATTCAAGTTTTTTTATTATTATTTTTATTTACCGTCATCATGATTCATACATATATATAAATTATTTTGAAAAAACGTTTTGTATAATTTTTTTTTTTGGGTCTTTCATAAAACGATCAAAGAGCGTTTGTACAATTTCATTCAGCTCTCCTAAAACATTCTGATCTTTCGACTGGTCTGTTATCGCTAGTTTTAATGAACATTCTGCATGTTTCCACCTAAAATCACATAAATGTGTTCTATCATATTTTTACATTAATATACACTAACTTTATTTCAAAGTAAATACAAAGAAAAAAAATATTCATTTATATATATATATTACCTGTCTTTAACATCAATATGTTCAATGTTTTTTGTTTTATAATGTGCCAACGTCCAATAATCAGTACATTTTTCATCAGCAACCGATTTAATAGTTACAACTCCTCCACTTTGTCTGATTGTAATCGAATTCATAACATCTTTTGCAATTTTTTCATTTTGTATTAATTGGGTAACTTTTTCTTGATAAGAAATATTCTATAAAATCAAATTATAAATTTATTCTTTGAATATCTTATAAAATGTTATACTACTCACTTTTTTTGGTTTTTTTTTTAACGTTTTTCTATTTTTCACATCTTTCCTTTTTTGTCCGGTCAATTTCGTCATCGATTTAATTTCTGGTTCCATAATTTCAACCTATAAATATAGTAAGCGATTAGTTAATACCTAGTTTGTTAAAAAATGTTATGATATGTTATACATTTTTATATTTAAAAAATTATTTATTATTAGTATTAAATATTTAAATTTAAATCAAACTACGTCTTAAATATTGTATTTATATATATATTTTTTTACTTACATCACTTGTAGAAAAGCATTCTTCTTCATCATCACTTTTAACTGAATAACACGACATTTTTTTAGTTTTAAAATAAATTTAATAAAAAATAGAAAAAATTTTGAGTACAAAAATAAGAGACGTGAGGACGGTGTAGACTCAATGAGGTATACTGTGTACACTGTGTTAGCTAGTCTCCTTATATTCTATGTTTTCTCTTACACTCCTCACCCTCCATAAGCATGATTTGTTATAACTACTTTTTTGGCTAAGTTGTTATTCTCACGGATATAATTTAAGAAAGCACTCATGTACGTGTACGAGGTCTTCTACGAATTTTAGAATGTAATACACTATAAGTTGAAAGACCTCGGATAGGTCTCAAACCATTAAAATCAAAATATATGATTTCTCATACTCATTCCACATACATGCGAATATTAGTTAGTTGTTATTGCCAATTATTTTTTTTAAACATGTACCTGATTAATATAGTTCCTAGAACCGTTTAAAATACGTTTTTATAATGTAATAAACTATAAGTTGAAAGACAACGGATAGTTCAAACCATTAAAATCAAAATATATGATTTCTATGATTTCACATACTCATTCCACATACTTGCGAAATATTAGATAGTTGTTATTACCAATTATTTTTTTTTAAACATGTCCCCCAAAATATATAATAAAGGTTATCTTAAAACGAATGACGTTGATCAAGGGCGTAGGTAAGGGGGGGGGGGGGGG